CTTCTCAGTGTGCTCTTCCATGAAAGAGGTTGGTGAGCAGGTTGTCGGATGATTTCTGTAGAGTCCATAGCCCCGTTCCACCATAGGTGTACATAACTTTTATACAGTCTTTTGACACTAATGTGTTAAGATGGGTGATGAACTCCTCGGGCTGTCGTGTTTTGAAGAGACACAGATGCTTTTGGTGGTTACAGGATGGAGCACAGGTAGCAGCCCTGGTTCCTGTCACCCATGTATGCGGAGGAAATGGCCAGTGTCCTCAGACTATACTGCAGGTATCTGGAGTTTGCCATCCACCCTACATTCACCAACATTTATTGCAGAGCTATCACGACTGCTGTGTTTTGGTCCTTTGTGATATTCTTATTGTCCCGTCAGTAGCACTGCTCTATATCACCTGCTGATCTTCACTGCTCCTTTATTTTGTCTCTCTTTTTCCATATCCTGTCTCTTCTGGCTTATCAGCTGTCTGAGGAAACAGTTGGCTTTAACCAGGGCCCTCCTTTTTTTCTGCATTGTAATTAAAGTGTTAGGAAAAACAAATTCTTCTCTCCTGTGTTTGGTTTTCTTAAATTCTTAGCTGTGAGTTGTAGGGGAGTTCTGGGAATTAGATCTTAAAATACCTAAAGTTTACTCCGGATAGTATGCAGATGTAATACATTAAATAATTCTGAGCCCGTTTCCAAAAGCAACATGAGCTACACAAAACTATCTATCTTGGCATTTTCAAGAGATGAGAAAATCTGTAAGATGATCTTATTTCATGAAATCACTCTGGTAAGATCTTTTCTTACGCCCCAGAGATAATAATACTCTTTTGCTATTTCTGCATATATTTTTATTTACATAGTATAAATATATGAGAAGTTTATTGTAAGCCTTAATTTAATCTGAATATATAACAATTTAAACCTCACATTACAAAATTCTGAAGCTTAAGAAAACTGCTTATGTCTGTCATATTATTTTGGCAAATAATATTTGACAAAAAGTAATATTTGGCAAAACAAAGGCAGATGTCTCATAACCACGTAGTTTCTCCTCTGGTAGCATTAAAAACCACAGGTTACATCTTTTGGGTGTACGTTTTTCTTTTAACCTAGTAGTAATTTCTTTTTCTGTAAATCATTGAAATCTTTTCCTCCTACCACCTGTCTGTCTTGCTTTGAAAGCTATGATTTAAGTCCTTGTCCTAGTCTAACCATATCAGGCTTTTACTTAAATGATAGGAAACATACTTTGGTTCCCATTAAAAACTAATCTAATGCTGCACAAGCCTCCTCCTGTTTGTAGTTTTCCATTGTGTGATTCAGTAGCCCCTTCCTAAGTACAAATGCACTTTTTTTGATATTCTGGTATGCAGATTGACACATACAGGAATTTCAGGTTGAGTAGATACCGTTATAAAGCCATTCCTATTGGGAATAATTAAAAAGAAGGCCTTAGGCGGGGCCCAGTGACTCACACCTGTAATATCAGCACTTTGGGAGTCCCAGGTGGGCAGTTCACCAGGTCAGGAGTTTGAGACCAGCCTGACCAACATGGCGAAACCCCATCTCTACTAAAAATACAAAAATTAGCCGGGTGTGGTGGTGCACACCTGTAATCTCAGCTACTCAGGAGGCTGAGGCAGGAGAATCACTTGAACCCAGGAGGTGGAGGTTGTAGTGAGCAGAGATTGCACTCCAACCTGGACAACAGAGTGAGACTCCATCTCAAAAAAAAAAAAAAAAAAAAAGTGGAGGCATGGGGCTTAAAAGGAAGGGAAGGATTTCCAGTCTTGGAAACCAGAGGAATGGCGATCCTTGCTATGTAGTGGCAGAAAGCTGAGTGACACTGGAGCTTTCAGTGACACCAAAAGTAGAGAATGTCTGAGGAGTTGTGTGATCTAGCTCAGGAGGTTTCTAAGCAAAGTGCTGAAAGTGCCACCTGGTTTTTTTCTTGGGTCTTATGGTAACAGGTGAGCCTGCTCAATCATGGGAAGAACTGTTAAAAAGAAACCAGGACCACCTGGTCTGAAAATTCTCAGCCTCTCAAGAGGCAAAAAATGCCAAAATGAAGAAATGGCCTCTGAAGGAAGGCTCAGATTTAGTATGAGTTTTCTTAGCATCAAGTATCTCTCTTTTCTGGTTGAAAAAGTGTGTTTATATGTGTGATTATTATTTGATATTAATGTTGATTGAACCCAGGTGAAGAGGAGTGACTTATTACTACCTAAAATATGGATTATGAAGTATTTGAGTTGTTTCAGGAGGTTGAGATGCAAGCATGTGATAGAAAAAAGATGCTCTTAAGGAAGCCGCAGTATACCCTGCTATGAATAGCCATGGGAACTCTACAAAAAACAAAGAGCCAAGGCTACTCTGGCGAGAGCAGTGCTGCTGGGATCACCTACAAGGAAGTTGCTTAGAGAACCAGAGATGGCAGGTACCAACAGCCTTCAGCAGCGCTTCTGGAAGCAGAAGGAGAAAAACTAGGTGTCTGGTCACTGGCCACAAAAAGGTCAAGCTTTATCATCTCAACCTTTTGGCCCAAATTATTACACCATTTTGGTAAATAATATAGAAGTTAGATATTTTGGCAATAACCAAATCTATTCATTTGTTTGAAGGGAGCCATGAAATATACTGCTTTACTGTAAAGCATTCTGTTTTTAAGTTAGTTTTTCCTCATAATTTTTTTTTTAAAGAAGAACACTTAAATTGTAAACATAAAGCAGGGTTTCTCAACCTTGGCACTACTGGCATTTTGGGCTATATTATTTTTTGTTGTGGAGGCTGTTCAGTGCATTTTAGGATATTTAGCAGCACCCTTGGTCTCTGCCCTCTAGATGCCAGCAGTACCTACCCCCCGCATTTCTTCTCCAGGTTGTGAGAGCCAAAAATGTCTACCGACATTGATTGCCTGTCTCCTGGGCAACAAAATCACTTCCCACAGAGAACCACTGCAATAAAGGAAAAAATAATCAGAAAAAGAAAATAATAATGGTGATAGCATTTAATGGTTCATTAGTGCCAATTATTTACCTAAATAACTCTTGATCCATGTTCTGCTTTGAAAATATAATATATATGTTAAATAACTGTAAATTAAGGCAATATACCAGTTTGGTCTTGAATATTAGAATTTTTGTTTCGGGGAAAAAATAGATTTTCCCTTCATCAGTTAGCAAATATCTTAGGGATATGAAAGTAACACCTCACTTGAAAGATCAGGAAATCTGAAGTATTTAGCAGTGTGGCCAAGAAAGAACCCAAGTTTATTAATGTTTGACCCAGGGAGTATTTTTCTTATTTAAGCAGTCTGCTTGATATAAATATAAATAATCATCATTATCATCCAAGGCACTTTGAAAAAATAGAAACTTCTGTCTCTCTCTCAATTTTTGAGGATGATTATAAGTTATGTTTGGAAGCCACTGTTCCTGTCCACATTGCCATTCATTTATTTGTTTTAATTATATAAGTAAATCATGTTTAAAAGAATGTTCCAGCTAGGTGAGATTGAATAACCATAAATTTGGGGTCACATCGCTAACTGTATACATTCATGTTTATAAAGAAGTGAAGGGAGAAAGGAGAAGTGTATGTGTTCAGTTTTCCAACGGGTGTTGGATAACAACCTTTTACACTGAACAGTGGGGAAAAATGACTACCTTTTTTTTTTTTTTTTTGGTCTTTTTTAAGAGAACTGAATGCAGTGGCACAGTCACAGCTCACTGCAACCTTGACCTCCTGGGCTCAAGCGATCTTCCTCAGCCTCCCAAGTAGCTGAAACTACAGGCACAGGCCTCTTTACCTGGCTTATTTTTTAATTGTTTGTGGAGATGGGGTCTCCAACTCCTGAGCTCAACAGATCCTCCCACCTCAGACTCCCAAAGTGCTGGGATTATAGGCGTGGGCCACCGCACCTGGCCTGTGACTATTTTTAATGACTAGATTTTGGTAGTGTCTGATTAGATGTTAAAATGACTTCTGTCTGTCCTCTTGCATGACTCTTTCAAGTCTTATCAACAGATGTTTTCTGAAAGGTTTAAAAGAGTGAAGGCAAGAAGAAATGTTGGGTATGTTTTGTAAAAAGCCCTGCACACCCCAGAGAGCAGAATGTTTATGAAATGAATGTGTGGCTCCATTATTCAATCTTTAGGTATCTATTCCTGTACTACAGAAAAAGTGTTGAAGGCATAATAGTATTATGTGTAGAGTTGAGAGGTTGGTGGTATTTTAGAGTGAAATTGGCCATCCTTAGTGTAGCCAGTTCCTCTGTAGACATTTGTATTAGTTTGTTTTCATGCTGCTGATAAAGACATACCCAAGGCTGGGAAGAAAAAGATGTTTAATTGGACTTACAGTTCCACATGGCTGGGGGGGCCTCAGAATCATGGCAAGGGCGAAAGGCACTTCTTACATGGTGGCAGCAAGAGAAAAATGAGGAAGAAGCAAAAGCAGAAACCCCTGATAAACCCATCAGATCTCTTGAGACTTATTCACTATCAAGAGACTAGCATGGGAAAGACCAGCCCCTGTGATTCAATTACCTCCCCCTGGGTCCCTCCCACAACATATGGGAATTCCGAGAGATACAGTTCAAGTTCAGATTTGGATGGGGACACAGCCAAACCATATCAATGTTGAATACAATCTGCAGTATCAAATATTGAAAATTCTAGTGATGAAATGAGGATGATTATTACAGTAGTCAGTGCATTTGATTATAAAACTTCTATCATATTACGAGAATTTATTGCTTCATGATGTATTTGTGTTTCCTTTATATTGCAATGTTTCCATAATTTAAAATGAATCAGAATTCTTTATAGATTTTTCAATAAAATTAACTTCTAGATATCTACTCTTAATTTAAATAATTTTGGTATCCTGGTGAATTCTGCTTTTCTTCAAATATACGTATCTGACTAATGTGGCATCTTACAATAAGGTTTTCCAATATTAATGTTAGTTTCTTACAACTGTCCATTTTACTTTTTTATTCTCTTACAGTGCCTATACCAACTAATGTTACAATTGAGTCCTATAACATGAACACCATCGTATATTGGGAGTACCAGAACATGCCACAGGACCCTGTTTTTACCGTAGAGGTAAAGAACTATGGGTGAGTGTCACTCTTTGATTTATCCATTTTTGTTTAGGTCCTTGCAAATTCCGCAACTGTGTTCTGCTTTCATCATCCTTCCCACGTGGCAAAACATCCTGAACTGCTTGTAGATGTCCAAAAGTGCTAAAGATGTAAATTCTTTGCCAGATATTCTTGCCTCTTATTTCCTCTTCCTTATCAGTATTGAAGTAGAGAAGTATCACTAAACTGAGATTAGCATGACAAATAAAGCTAATAGTTACAGTGAAACCCCGTCTCTACTGAAAAATACAAAAAATTAGCTGGGCATGGTGGCGGGCGCCTGTAGTCCCAGCTACTCGAGAGGCTGAGGCAGGAGAATGGCGTAAACCCGGGAGGCGGAGCTTGCAGGGAGCCGAGATCACACCACTGCACTCCAGCCTGGGCGACAGAGCGAGACTCCGTCTCGTAGTTAGTATGTTGTCTTCCTATAGTGTATGTAGTTTTTAGTAGAACAATATAAATTTCAAAAAACTTTTTTGACAACTGTTAGTTTTTGTAATGTGCTTAGTCCTATAATTAACATGTATATTAATGGAATTTAGAGTTGTTTAAAAAAGCAGATTTTTAAAAAATTGAATGTGGAATGTGGCTTGCATACGTCTTACATTTTGAATTGAGCCTCTTTACTGTAACGGAGTTTGTAGTTCTTCTAACTAAAGAGTAAGGGCTTCCTACTTTCTTTAGCGTCTCCATCCTATTCTTACTCTGCTCTTTCTACTGCTTTGTGCTGTGAATAAAAAGCAAAGCACAGACAGAAATGGTTTGAGTTTATTTAATAACAGTAAAAGTTATCTTCACGTTTCTTAATTCTTTTTAGTGTTAAGAATGCAGAATGGATTGATGCCTGCATCAGTATTTCTCATCATTATTGTAATATTTCTGATCACGTTGGTGATCCATCAAATTCTCTTTGGGTCAGAGTTAAAGCCAGGGTTGGACAAAAAGAATCTGCCTATGCAAAGTCAAAAGAATTTGCTGTGTGCCGAGATGGTGAGTAGAATGTGTACACATGTAAATTTTAAATTGGAAAATATACATGTCTTCTATATATTTGCTTTTATTAGCAGTTGCTGAAAATTATCACAGTGCTTAAGAAGCACTTGGAGGTATTTAGAGAGTACAGGTTGAGCATCCCAAGTCTGGAAACCAGAATGCTCCAAAATCTGAAATTTTTTTGAGCACCAGCATGGCACTCAAAGGAAATACTCATTGGAGCATTTTGGATGTCCAGATTTGGAATGTTCAACTGGTAAGTATAATGCAAATATTCCAGAATCCAGAAAACAAAAACTCAGAAACCGAAAACATTACTGGTCTCAAGCATTTCGGATAAGGGATACTCAACCTGTATCCTCCTCCCCTTCTTTCAAGCCCCACAAAATAGGGCTAACAGGTGGCCATCACTTTGCTGCTTCTATGCTATGACATTTCCACTTCATACAATTATGGGTCTGTGCTGCCCAGCGGTCCCCTGCACCACCCTTGCCCTTCCCATCTTTTGTCATTCATTTGTAAGTTATATTCACTAAGGACTTTGGCAGCTAACTCTTATTCTTAATGCCTGGGGAGCTTGAATACCACCTTAATACATTTAAAAATTGCAGAGTTCCTTATTCTCTTCAGCCACGGTCATTTTCAGGTCTTCACTCTTCCAGCATCCCACTCCCATAGTGTACCTGATGTTTGCTGTCACCTCAAACTCCTGAATCTTTAGTGCCAGTTCCTGTTTTCGAACTATGACATCCTGTCTTAGCTCTCAGACCCTCACTCGTGGGTGAAAGACACCTTTAGTCACTTGACTCCTCCCTGGTCTTCTAGCCCCTGGGTCCCTTTCCTTCTAGCCTCACTTCCTTGCTCTGCTCCTGCCTTTCAGATTGTACCTCCTTGGTCTCTTCTACAGGCTGTTCCTCTCCTTGCCCTTTAAATACTTTTCTTCCCCAGAGTCCACACTTTTGTCATCTGATTACCACACCATCTGCATGTTAGATTTTTTTCCATATAGATTTATCAAGGGCCTACTATGTGCCGGAAAGTATACCGGGCCCTGAGGATACAGTAATGCGTTAAAAACAGACCTGCCTGGCACACAGTGGTACACAGTAATATGTGAAGACTAGATAAATGGTTCAGCAACAAAGTCTCAAACATCAAAGACCTAATAAACATTTATGGAGTAAGTTCTGATCTTTCACAGTAAAAAGTTTTGGTGAGGGAAGGTAACTAATGCCATTTCTGAAGCGTTTCTTAGAAACCAGGCTTCTTAATCCACAGAAGCAAAGATAAAGGAAAAATTACTTAATAGAGTTTATATTATGTGAAGTCTTTTTTAAACCAAAGTTTATAACTATTTTTGTTTATAACTAGAAATGAAATTAAACTGCTAAAGAGGCATTTAGATTAGATAAGAGTGCTTCTTTCCTAAGATTTATGAAACATTTGTTTATAAAGGACACTGAGACTATCTTCTAGATATTTGTGGAGTGGTTTAAATGTGGTCCTGCTTTAGAACAACCAGAACAAAAAAAGAATAGGCTGATTGACAGATTCTGGTAATTTTATGAAATGTACCATGAAGTTCCAAGTACTTATTATACTTTCTCCTCCTCCTTCCCCAGGAAAAATTGGACCACCTAAACTGGATATCAGAAAGGAGGAGAAGCAAATCATGATTGACGTATTTCACCCTTCAGTTTTTTTAAACGGAGAAGAGCAGGAAGTCGATTATGATCCAGAAACTACCTGTTACATTAAGGTGTACAATGTGTATGTGAGAATGAACGGAAGTGAGGTATGTGTTTCTATTTCACATTTTTCATAATGGAAATTCTTGTGTAGCTAGCAAAAGTTGTTTCTTTCTGTAGTGTAATGAAAATACAATGCTTATAAATATTCAAGCAAGACTCACAGATCATAGATTTTGATAAGAAAAAAATATGTGAATGCTATTAAAGCAAAAATGATACGGAGTTAGTCACTAACACTGACTACATGAATACATTTACGTTTTTATTTGCTTCACTTTGCAGAACAGCTCTAATCTAGGATTTTTCCCAGTACACCTCCATTGTTCCACTGGTAAAATGAGGATTTTCTTCCTCATTGGCAGTGATGTAAAGTAATATTAATACATCTGTTTCTCACCAGCTAAGTTTCTGGACAAATGAGTAGGACAAATGAACATTTGTTAGTTTAACAACTAACAATAAACATTCCTGCAATTTGAGTTTTTAAATTAACCGTCTTTATAAGGAATATAACAGATGCATAGTATCGTGCTATGTTGAAGTAACAAATTGACTTATTGATATCAAAGCTATTTTTAGACATGTTCAAATCAGTCATATATGTTTTCTTCAGTTGTTTGACCAGGACTAGTATGGTGATTTTTTTTTCAATGCAGATTAAAAGAAGCTGTGCATTTTCACTGTTTTCTTTTTCCATCTAGATCCAGTATAAAATACTGACGCAGAAGGAAGATGATTGTGACGAGATTCAGTGCCAGTTAGCGATTCCAGTGTCCTCACTGAATTCTCAGTACTGTGTTTCAGCAGAAGGAGTCTTACATGTATGGGGTGTTACAACTGAAAAGTCAAAAGAAGTTTGTATTACCATTTTCAATAGCAGCATAAAAGGTAAATTCTTGCCATTTTTTTTCTAAATATAGAGGGAGCAGTAACTAAAACAGGATCATGTGAGGAAAGCAAACTCATTTGCAGTTTCAAAAGATCTGTTTTAACAATATTCAGTTCCATTAGTTCCATTCCTTAGAAAAGTTCAAAATTAAAAATAAAGCAGTTTCTCACACATTAGAAGATATAGAACAACCAATTTGGAAAGCCATGTGATGGCCCCTTGACCCAGGAAAGAAAAAATATATAATAAGTACATAAAACTGCACAAATGTTTGCATTTCAGGATTATGAATTCTAAGTCAGTTTGTTACTTCACCATAGCAAGATGTTATGAATCCACTAAAATGTTCTCTATGGGGATTGTAATTTGAAGACGGAAGAGCAAGAACGCTCATTGATTACAACTGTATGATGTGGACTGGACAAAGACTTGCGGTTAATATCCAGAAAAGTTTATAGATGGGTTTGAATAATAAATAATGGATCATTTTTATAGCATTTTACAATAATTAATTTTATTTCATCTTTTAATATGGGGGGTTGGGAGGTAGATATATGTTAGCACTTGAACTTTAGAACTGTTACTCTCAGGTGTCAGGTATCTTAAAGAAGTTTGGACTTTTCTTTGTAGTTAGGAAATGTAAGTGTTCATTATAGATAATTTATAAAATATGAAAAGCCAGAAGAAAATAAAATGATCTGTAGTTCTACCATGCAAAAGTGCCCCATTACTCACAGTTTGATATTTTCTTTAGTTTTTCTACATAGACATGATCATATTGTATAGTATATATGATTTTGTTTATTGCTTTAAGCATATATTATAAATATTTTTCCATTTTATTTCAGATACTTCATTAATATTAATGTCTGTAGAATATTTCACTATATAAATTACGTATTTAATGTTTTATTGTTTTTGGACTTTTAAGAGTATAGGAGTTTTCACTATGACAACTCATGCTTTGATGATTATCTTTGTGTGTATGGGTGTATATATATATACACATATATATGTGTGTATATATATAGATATATATATACATTTTTTCTTAGGATTTTTTTAGAATATATTTCATAGGTTTAAAAATTTACTAAAATTTTATGATAAAAGTATATTTTCGAAGAATGGAAATATAGGCTGAAGAGTCAGAACAAACACCTAAAATTCAATACTAATAACTTCCAGCCATTATATGAAGGTTTCAAATAGGTGACTTAAAGCAGTGCAGTACATTTTATGCTAATTTTCATTATGCTATTTGAAAAATAAAACCCTTCTTAATGCTCAAAATTTGAAATACTGCAAATGCCCCAGATTTGTTTTTAGCCTGAATTATAAACTGCACTGATAATATGGTCACACGGTAGCATCGCTGTGGCTCCTGAGCAGCAGCCCCTGCCTGCTTGCCTCAATGCCTTGCAGCCAGCACTTGCTCAGCCCATGGGACTTCTAACAACATTAAAGGGAGTGGTTTTGTAGTTATTTTTTACTTTTGTAATGATTTAACTTTTTTCACATCCTGTGATAAGCGTAATAGAAGCATTCATTAACTAGTAACTTCCATAGTTAGAAAATTCTAGGTAACAAAATGCCCTAAAGGAAGCCAGACATTGCCACAGTATGTTACAGTGCTGTTAATTGGAAGAGAGAACTATGAAAAAAAAAATACTGAAGACTGTGCTGCAGAAATAAAAAGCAGCATTAGAGCAAAATACACAATGGTGATTCTAGATGTCTGTGCTTGGACACAGATCTTTCCTATTTTATATTATTTATGTCTGGTTTGTAATTAAGGGGACTTTATTCCTGTGCAACATTCCTGTGTGCATGTACATCTGTGAAGCTTTATAAGTATTTGCAGTCATGAAATAAATAAATGTAACAGAAAATTCTGAGGAGTGGGGGCTAAATCATTTTAAGAGCTATAAACACTGCCAGAATTTCTTTCTTTTTTTTTTTTTTTTGTTTTGTTTTTGTTTTTGTTTTTGTTTTTCTTGAAATGGAGTCTCGCTCTGTCACCAGGCTGGAGTCCAGTGGCACAATCTCAGCTCACTGTTACCTCCACCTCCCGGGTTCAAGTGATTCTCCTGCCTCAGCCTTCCGCTTAGCTGGGAGTACAGGCGCACGCCACCACACCCAGCTAATTTTTGTATTTTTAGTAGAGATGGGGTTTCACCATGTTGGCCAGGGTGGTCTCAATCTCTTGATCTCACGATCTCATGATCCGCCTGCCTCAGCCTCCCAAAGTGCTGGGATTATAGGCATGAGCCACCGTGCCCAGCTGCCAGAATTTATTTCTAAGGAGAGATATTTTTTAAATTCTTCTTTTGCATTTTTAACTGAAAGAAGTGCATAACCCTGGAAACATACTGTATGTAGGGCTGTAAGGAAATTATTGTGGAAAAGCTATTTTAACTATATTATGTCATAGCAGAATAGTCCCAGAAAGTTCTAGAATTGCAGAGCTGGGAGGAATCATATTGCTATCCAAGACAGATACCTAATTTTTTACTCAGAGTTCCTAACTTCTGCTTCCTTCGGTGTTCTTTAAAACTCTGGCCATATTCACTAATGTGTAAATCTATTCAAGAATGGCACTAAGACTTTTTGATAGATAATAGCAGTATTCCATCTTAATTGTAATTTGCAATTTCTGCCTTTTTTAAGGTTCTCTTTGGATTCCAGTTGTTGCTGCTTTACTACTCTTTCTAGTACTTAGCCTGGTATTGATCTGTTTTTATATTAAGAAGATTAATCCATTGAAGGAAAAAAGCATAATATTACCCAAGTCCTTGGTAATGTATTTAATTTTTTTTGTACACACTAAAAGGTTAACTTGAACCATTTTTGATAGTTTCTTAAATTATGTTTTTAAAGTGGAAGGATATTCAACAGCATGTCACCTGCCATCAATCAGTCTACCACACATCCAAAATGACATACTGTGTCTTTTGCTATGCAGCACGTTTTGTTTTGTTTTGTTTTGTTTTAATTCTCAGGGCAAAAACACAGACAATTCTGTTAAAGATCTTAAAGTCTAGTGGAAAGAAAAGATAAGTATACATTGGATATATACAGTGTGATAGGTTCAAAGGTTTATACCTGAGCCTGTGAGGACTTTGTCCAGCTTTGGGATGGGGTTAGTCATGGCTTTTCCAGAGGCAATGCCTGAGCAGTCTTGAGAGATACACAGGAGTTTAGGCACTAGGGGACAGGATGTGCCGAGGTGCAGAGCCAAGAAAGCATGACTTTGAAAGATCTGCAAATATGGAAACACTTCATTATTGTTGGAGTATAAAAGGAAAGTTGGCCAAAAATGAGACTAACATAGGAGTTTGACGATTTTAATGTCCAACATTTCAAAGCCTTTGATGAAAAGAACATTTAAAGGTAACAGAATAGTATCTATTTGAATCAAATATGACAGGAATAATATCTGTGATGCTCAAAGGGCACATTCAAATTTGCTATTAAAAAAACTACCTTTAAGTACAGTAGATAAGAACTCTCAATTAGTAGTCAACTCACAAATGAATTGTAATATTTTATTTTTTACTAGTAATTAAGCACAAAGCAACCTTGCAGTATGCCATTTTACACTAGAGAAGGAAAAAGAAACCGGGATATCCAGTAGTAGTAGGATAATGGGTAAATGCTGGTTAAAAGTAATCTAGCCCTGGTAAGAAGAAAAGCACACAGTGGGTATTCGGTGTAATAGTGCCATAAACATGCCATTTCTTCAATATAGTCACTCCACTCTTAAAAAATGTATTATAAGGAAATAATTTCATAAATAAAAAGATGTGCGGGATATTTAACATGTTGTATAGCTAGTAAAAATTGGAAACATTTCCACATCTATTAGAGAAATTATTTATCAGTATAAAGAAATAATATGAGCCACTAAAAATTACAATGATGAAGGCAAGTAATGAGAATATTAAGTAGATGTGCTCACTTTGCAGACATAATATGCATACATGTGGAAGATAATTGTATCTGGGTTCTCTAGAGGGACAGAATTAATGGAATATATATATAAGTATCGAGATATATATATAAAGGGGAGTTTAGTATTAACTCACACGATCAAAGGTCCCACAATAGGCCGTCGCAGGCTGAGGAGCAAGGAGAGCCAGTCCAAGCTCCAAACCTGAAGAACTCAGAGTCCAATGTTCAAGGGCAGGAAGCATCCAACACAGGAGAAAAATGTGGGCTGGGAGGCTAAACCAATCTCTCTTTTCACATTTTTCTGCCTGCTTATATTCTAACCATGCTGGCAGCTGATTAGATTGTGCCCACTCGGATTAACGGAGGGTCTGCTTTTCCCAGCCCACTGACTCAAATGTTAATCTCCTTTGGCAACACCCTTGCAGACACACCCAGGATCAATACTTTGTATCCTTCAGTCCAATCAAGTTGACACTCAGTATTAACCATCACAGTAATGTTTCAAAAAGCAACCTATATTAGTAAGATATCCTTGTGCACATGTACCCTAGAACTTACAGTATAATAATAATAAAAAAAGATATCTGATGGCTTTTTAAAAATGCTAAAACTTTGTTTTTAATCTTACTATGGTACCTTTCATTAAAAAGAAAAGGCAGCCATCTGATTCACCCGTTATCCTAAATGTGCCATTTGGTGGTCCATTACTTTAGACATTTGTTTTTTTGAGGGTAGGCACTTAAGCTTAACAATATTTTATCTTTAATCAATTTTTCTCCCCATAGATCTCTGTGGTAAGAAGTGCTACTTTAGAGACAAAACCTGAATCCAAATATGTGTCACTCATCACATCATACCAGCCATGTTCCTTAGAAAAGGAGGTGGTCTGTGAAGAACCGTTGTCTCCAGCAACAGTTCCAGGCATGCATACCGAAAACAATTCAGGAAAAGTAGAGCATACAGAAGAACTTTCTAGTATAACAGAAGTGGTGACTACTGAAGAAAACATTCCTGACATGGCCCCGGGCAGCCATCTGACTCCAATAGAGAGAGAGAGTTCTTCACCTTTAAGTAGTAACCAGTCTGAACCCTGCAGCGTCGCTTTAAACTCCTATCACTCCAGAAATTGTTCTGATAGTGATCACTCCAGAAATGGTTTTGATACTGATTCCAGCTGTCTGGAATCACATAACTCATCTGATTCAGAATTTCCCCCAAATAATAAAGGTGAAATAAAAACAGAAGGACAAGAGCTCATAACAGTAATAAAAGCCCCCACCTCCTTTGGTTATGATAAACCGCATGTGCTAGTGGATCTACTTGTGGATGATGGCCGTAAAGAGTCCTTGATTGGTTACAGACCAACAGAAGGTTCCAAAGAATTTTCATGAGATCAGCTAAGATGCACCAACTTTGAAGTCTCATTTTCCTGGACAGTTTTCTGCTTCAATTTCATGAAAAGATTATGATCTCAGAAATTGTATCTTCTGATATGATTGGTATCAACCAAAGGGAGTGACTTAGTTTAGATAAAAGTGTAAAGAGGATGTGTGGCATTTTCAATTTTGGCCTGAAAACTACAAAGACTGGTTTTTTTTTTAAACAAAAAAAAGTAATTTATGACCCTTTGCATCCAGATAGGTGAGTAGTGACAAGGAACAGTATCCAGTACTCCTTATTCCTAGGTGAGCAGGTGATGCCCCAGGGACCTTTGTAGCCACTTCACTTTTTTTCTTTTCTCTGCCTTGATATAGCATATGTTTTTGTAAGTTTTATGCATACAGTAATTTTAAGTGGTTAATTTCAGAAGAAATTCTGCAAGCTTTTCAAAATTGGACTTAAAATCTAATTCAAACTAATAGAATTAATGGAATATGTAAATAGAAACATGTATATATTTTTTATGAAACATTACAGTTAGAGATTTTTAAATAAAGAATTTTAAAACTCGTTTTTATATTCATTTATTTAAGCACTTAGGCAGTCTTTCATAGTTAAGCAGAATATTTTTATATCCACTGCTTATTTCCATGCATTAATGCTATAGAATTATTTGCTAATCGTTCATATTTAATATTTAAAACAACCCTAAAATTAATATTTTTAGATGGTCCTTATAGGTCTATATTTCAGTGTTTAACACCCAGTGTGCATTACACTGTTCTAAGTGGTTTGAGAAGAAAAGACTTCGCTGTAGAGCACGTGAATTGAAGAGTCTAGCATAAAGGTGGTGGGCAGAGCCATGGAAATGGATGAAGGAACCTTGAGAATTACATGGTGTGGAAAGAATCCCCAGTGAGAGGCAAGCCAAGAGTTAATATATATATTACACAAGGATTTAGTGGAATTACTAAGAGGATAGAAATATTCAGAAATTAATATGAGTCTGTGAATTAATCCACCAAAAAAATTGAAATACCATTTACATGAGTAGCAAATCATATTTCTTTGGTTTCTGGAGAGATATTTCTCTTCACTTAAAAATGCAAATTACAAATGAGATACTATTAGTGAAAAAAGTAGTGGTGTGGTTTGCAGTGAAACTGATACAGTCACTTATTTTGGGGTAATGTCTTGTAAATTGCTTTTCAAACTGATATCCCCGTACATATCACATTCCACGAAAGTAAATATCCTTCAACGGACTTTGATCTCTCTTCTGGGAAAATTACCAAAAAAAAAAAAGACTTTATATGAACAATGCATACATTAGAATGGGAAAAGCAAAAATATGAAAATAATTGAAATAGCCAAGGAAGAGGTAATATTTACTGCCCTCCAAAATAATTATACCAATGTGTACTCCCATCAAATGTGAATGAAGTACCTGTTTTTACACTCTAGCTAATTGACTGAAATAAGTCTTTAATCTCGGTAAAACACTTTATGCATTAAATGCATTTGCATTTCTTTAGTAAATTTGAGCATGTTTTTATATCTTATTTATATTTTCATGCCAACTCATCTTGTTCTTTGTCCGTTTTTTTATGGGCTGTTTATATCTTTCTTCCTACCGTTTATCTGCCCTGAGTTACAGGTTTATTTTATAATTTCTTGCCTTTTGACTTACCACACAGATGTTTAAGATGTTTATAAAGTCAAATTTATTTCCTTGTGTTTTTAAAAAGCCCTTCCCCTTTGATGCAAGTTTTCACTCATGTTTTCTTCTGGTCTTTGGTGGTGATTGTTTTACATTTAATTCTTTTATCCATCTAGATTTTTTTTTTTTTTTTCATATGAGGACAGAGATAGAGATCCAGCTTTATTATTTTGTTTTCGTTTCCTATGGCTGCCGTAATATATTACCACAAACTTGGGTGGCTTAAAACAACAGAAATTTGTTATCTCACAGTTCGGAGACTAGAGGTCTGAAATCAAGGTTTCAATAGGGCCAGATTCTATCTGAAAGCTCTAGGGGAGGAGGGGCCCTTCCTAGTTTCTAGTGATTGTCAATCCTTGATACTCCCTGACTTATAGCTGCATTATTCCAATTTCTGCCTCTTATCACTTGGCATTCTTCCCTGTATGTCTCTGTGTCCAGATCTTTATAAGGACACCAGTCAATTGGATTGATTAGTCCCACTCTAATCCAGTATGACCTCCTCTTAACTTGATTACATCTGTAAAGACACTGTTTCCAGTTGAGATCACATTCATAGGTACCAGAGGTTAGGACCTCAACACATCTTTTTGAGGACACAACTCATATATTTCCCGTAACAAATTAGTTATCCCAAATACTGTTTATTAAATTATGTAACTTTTCTATGCTGATTTCAAATGTCACATTTATCACATGCCAAATTCTCAGCACTCCTGGAACAGTTTTGTTGTTCAGTCTTTTCCCGTCTGTGTATCACACTATTTTAATACACCTGATACTGGGGTATATTTTATGTGGTTTTTGTTTGTGTGTTTTGGGGGTTTTTTTGAGAGAGTCTAGCTTTGTCACCCAGACGGGAGTGCAGTGGCACAAACATGGCTCACTGCAGCCTCAACCTCCTGTGCTCAAGCAGTACTCCTGCCTCAGCCACCCAAGTAGCTAGTACTACAGGTGCCCATGACCATACCTGGCTAATGTTCTGTATTTTTTTGTAGAGACAGGGTTTTGCCATGTTGCTCAGGCTGGCTTCAAATGCCTGTGCTCAAGCAATCTGCCTACCTCAACCTCCCAAAGTGCTGCAATTACAGGCTGTTTTGACTTTTGAGGCTTTCCTGAATACTTTCAGCCAATGTTCATTGCTCATATTTCTTAGCAATAATCATTTATTTATTTATTGTATTTTTAGTAGAGATGGGGTTTCACTGTGTTAGCCAGGATGGTCTCGATCTCCTGACCTCATGATCTGCATGCCTCAGCCTCCCAAAGTGCTGGGATTACAGACATGAGCCATCGCACCTGGCCAGCAATAATTATTTTTCAGGTGAACTATAACCTAAATGTTTTGGCCAAGTTTTCCCCCAAATTTTAAACTCCTTTGGAATTATGTTGGCATTGTGTTGACTTTATAAAATGTTTAGAAATAACTAATATTTTCAAGGGTTGAATGTTCTGCAAGAATAGAGACTATTTCTGTCTTCAAGTCTTACATCCCTCATTAGAGGTTTACTTCATACAGGTGTAGAGCATTTCTTACTAAGTTTATTCCTTGATATTTTATGTATTGTGTTGCTTATGGGAATGTCATCTTGCATTGTGGCTCCTGAATGGCTGGCTGTATGTAAACACACAAAAACTATTGTTACAAATTGTTTTTGTATCTAGCCAACATCTAAACTTTTTTTCCTCCATGGTTTTTAGTTGATTGGTTTTCCCAGTATACAAACGTCTATAAATAAGAGTAATCCTGCTTTCTCATTGCCAATATTATATTTTGTTTTTTATTCCCTTGTCCTCAAACTTTGATGAATTGGTATAGGCTATTTTCCAAGAATGATTGACCAAACCTGGTGGCTGTGGGCAAATCGCTTAGCCTCATGAGAGAGTTGGATTACATTCTCTCTCATTTTTGGCTCTTAAGAGGCATTGCTTCCGTTTGTGTTAACTGGTAAGAGCATCATCTTTCCAACACAGTTTTGTGTCTAAACTTAATTTTTTTCCCGTACATTATTTCTGGTCACCAGAAATTCATGTTACTGAACCATTATTCATGCCAAGAAAAATTGTCTTCAGATTACTGCCTGGGTTCGATTTAAGGTACAACTTCTTATGCCTGATAAGAATATAAGTAGATGACTTAGATAATAAGTGCCAGCTTTGTTTGTATCGTCGTTAGTTAGCTTCATTTATGAGATGCAATACTTACTCTACCTTCCACCGCCCTGCAAATAATAACTGGTCTCTCCACTGGCACTGTTACAGGGCTTTAAGGCTTAATCACGTACCCCGAGCTCTCTTTGCTCCAGTAGCTCCTCTGCTCAGGAGATAAGTGTCAGATATTTAATTGAGAGGAAAGAGTAGCAGAGATGTGTTCTGACTAGCATGTTCCCAGAGTATCCTTACTAGAGCTAATTATAAAATACTATAACACGCACAATGTATCTCCAAAATTAAATATTGAGCAGATATCAATAAAAGGTGAATAGTAGAGAGCACTCACAGATTGGCTTTGCAGACAGCCTTTTTAAGGAAAATTCATGGAACTGAACAACACAGGTATATAGTCAGACTGGATGTCAGACCCCAGCCTTTGGGCTATGGGAGATTTTTGCTACATAACCAGAGATGTGCCAGTCCCTTTCCTGGTATAAAAAGAGGTGAGGACCAAAGGGGTCAGTAGGTACTTCACTCAGTTCGAGGGGCCACTGATTCATCTGAGGTGAGGCCACTTTTATTTCACTTCTGACACCATTTTGTGAACCTAAATAACAGCAAGAGTCTCTCTAAAAGAAAATAATATTTGAGAATGGGTCTTGCAATGAGACAATAGTACACTGTGTGTGTGTATTCAGGGAGATAAAGGAAGACAAAATTTTTAAAAGAAAAATGAAGATGACCTAATTGTACTGAGATAATTAACCTTCACTATGTAAAATAAAATTGTAAGCCCTCCCCGCCTCAAACCATCTGAATGGACGCTCCCTCTTGACCAAGCACATTCTAAAGTTAACCTGAAAAACTAGTTAAGGCCATGATGGGATGGGAGAGTTGTACATAACTCATTACACCCTCCTCCCTTTTGGAATTCAGGAAAAGCTGACCAGCATTAAACTTAAGTCTGATAAGAAACATTCGCAATCTGTTCTCTCTGAAATCTGCTACCTGTGAGAGGTGACAATGTGCTAGCAGCCCTCAGTCTCAGCGCCTTCTCGGCCTTGGCGTCCACTCTGGTGGCGCTTGAGGGGCCCTTCAGCCCGCCATGGCACCGTGGGAGCCCCTCACTGGGCTGGCTGAGGCCGGAGCTGCCTCCTTCTGCTTGCCCGGAGGTGTGGAGGGAGAGGTGCGAGCGGGAACCCGGGCTGCACGTGGCGCTCGCGGGCCAGTGCAAGTTCAGGCAGGCACGGGCACTGGCTAGGCAGGCACGGGCACTGGCTAGGCAGGCCCCCGCACACCGAGCGGCCTGCCAGCGCCACTGGCCCAGGGCAGTGAGGGGCTTAGCACTCAGGCCAGCAGCTGCGGGAGGTTGCAGCGGGTCCCCCAGCAGTGCTGGCCCCAAAGTGCTGCACTCAAATTCTCGCCAGGTTTAGCTGCCTCCCCTCGGGGCAGGGCTCGGGACCCCGCAGCCCGCCATGTCTGAGCTACCCCTCTGCAGTGGGTTCCAGCACGGCCCGAGCCTCCCCAGCCTCCCCGACGGGCTCCGTCCCCTGCTTCGTGGTGCCTGGTCCCATGGACAGCCCAAGGGCTGAGTAGTGCAGGCGCTGCTCTGGACTGGTGGGCAGCTCGTCCTGCAGCCCCTATGCGGGATCCACTGGGTGAAGCCTGCCGGGCTCCTGAGCCGAATGGGGACTTG